TGCGTTTTGGGGGGTCCCCGGCAGAGAAACACTTTTCTAAAACTCTTCGCCGCAGTCCTCGCTATTTCGCTGTGCGTTACGCGCGGTAAAGTAGCGCCCGGTATTTTTAAACTCCCTATTTTCTCGGCACACGTTTGTTCGTTAAATTAGATTTTTTTTTTAACTAGTTGGGTTTGCTTTATCTGTCGTTATGTTTGGATCTGTGCGTAGCATAATGAAAAGTTGCCACACATTTTCTGTATGGTCCGAGAAAGTGTAGCTTATGTCAGCAGAGCACATATTGAATTCCTCTACTTTCAGTCCGTTGCTTTAGAAAATGTTTTATTGGTCTATCAGTGTACTGATGTCATTCAACTATAAATTGATTACATTGATCATACTTCATTACATTTCAGAAGTTAGACTTCCTTGGAATTCGGTTCATGCAGAGCCAATATTCCTTTGCTGTCAAAAGGGTTGAAGTGGATAGCCATCTTTTGTTTTGAAGTTATGGAAGTCGACTGGATTGTATCTGTTAGGACAAACTTCGCTCCCCTGACTTTGAAGAATTGATCTGGGTTTACCTTTGTCGGTTAGAATTTTTGATAAAGCAGTTGTTCCTTTTCGCCTCTTTTTTTTTCTGTCTTTTATTTCGCAACTGTAATGTGATCAAGCCAAGGGCCGCAGTTATTCCCAAATGAAGCAGCAGCAGTGTGTTCCCAGCTTGCGTCACTTCGATTCATTTCAAGGCATGCCACGAAATGAACGTCCCTGTTCATACACCGTTGGAAGTGGGACTGACTTCAAAATGCAGTTCGACACAGTGTTTGAGTGATGTGGGACGTGTGTTGAATGACCTATGCGGCTGTCACAGGTTCGGGGTTGGTCAACCCGAAACGTTCCAAGTCCCACTTTCTTCTTCTCGTCTTCCTCTTCCCATTGGCTTGAAGCTCGACCGGCATTATACTCCGTTTCATACTTAGCGCGCAACGCTGTCAAAGCTACTGGCGCGAGTGCGTGGCTTCGTCTACGGCTTTGTTTGCGCGAGAAGGTGTGCAGATGACCTACGAGATCAAGCCCCACGCTCGCGCCAGTAGCTTTGACAGCGTTGCACCCGAAGTATGAAAGGGAGTATAGTCTCATCCGAGCTCATGCCTTTGGCGCTCAGGTAAACATGTGCAAGGATTGCAATTGAACCACCCCCCCCCCCCTCCCTCCCTCCCCCCAAACCACCCTTGAACAGAACAAAATGACAAAAAAGACGAAATTTGTGACAGCGGTGTTCGAGAGAAACTGCACTTTTAATTACCCTGCCAGAAACTTGGCAAAGATTTCAGTGTGGCTGCAGCTGTGAGGGTGAGGTGGATCCAATATGAAAACTGGACCCTGAAGCGACGCCTTCAGGATGCCGAAAATATTTTTTGTAAGTTAGAAATTAACCCATTAGTATACTTCCTAAATATTTGGGCCGGGTGTCGATTAAAAATTTTTACCCAGTTAATTTGTCACATAAAATTTTAGACATAATATCTGGAAATGAGTGAGACTGCAGATGTTTCAAACTGGCTAAGGTAAAGCAGCTTTGCAGTGCACCAAAGTTTACACTGAACATACTTTTGTGTAGCGTCCACAAGGTGTAGCTCTTCCATTGAAGTTTTATGACTTAGTTTCTTCAATGTCTGAACTTTCAGCGTGCCAGCTGGGTAGTGTGTAATTGTTTTTTTTATAGCGCAAGCAAGATATTAATCCTGGCGGCAGGAAGTTTCGGCTAGCAGTTTACATAGTTGGACGACGGTGTGCATGCTTGCTTTCTCTGAAGCGGGCAATGAAGCGAAATAACAGCATGTGCGGATTGTCCATGCATTTAATTTTTTGTTTGTTGTTTGTTTCAGATTACATGTGCTCCCAGTACAAGGGGGTGGCCCTCCAGGCGCTGACGACCAGCATGTCGTCTCTGCTGTGCTGTCGAGCGAAATTTAAAGGGTAAATATTGCAGCTGCAGTTTTTTCTATTCTGTCCCTGCTAAACTTCCTGCGAATTTCTCTGCATGCTTGGTGTTTTTGTTTTCATGGTACTGTAAACTTTTGTTATAGTCCGTGGCAACTATAGAATAGCACAAGCCCCTCCCACAACTTCCTTTGCTCGCCATGATTGGCGGTGTCCCCTCGGCTCTCTTACTCTCTAGTGTTTGCTTATTAAAAAGAGTGAAGGGCTTTGTGGGAGAGGCTTCTGCTGTTCTAGAGTGGCAACAGAGTATAGTGCGACCCTGTAAAAATTTTTTTACGTTACATCATATGGCGTCACATATCATGGTACGTCACGTGAAGTGTGATGTCATCGAACCGAGGACATATTTTTATGACCATCTTTCGGGAACATCAACGCCGACGCCGTCGTTTGCCGTATTGGGACAAGCTTCTTTTTGAGGGATGAGTAATGCCGCGTTCCGAAGCGGCTGAGATAGTACAGCAGCAAGCATGCCCGGCTCTCATACAGCAGCACCGGGTTCAAATCCCAGCCGTGGAAGCACATTTTATTCTTTCTTTTATTCCTCTGTTAACTTTGGTACCACTCGGTTTACGCCGCTGGACGCCGGATTTTCCGCTCCATGGGCCATATAATGCTTTCGCATTAAAAAGGCCCATCCAGTCAGGAATGTGCCTTTTCGTGTGGTAGAGTCGCACAGCTGCCCACGACTTCGAAAATCACAACTGAAGTACGAGGGGGCACTAGTGATCACCAAATCAGGTTCACGCCATTCATAGGTGAAGGATTCATTTGGGTGCACTGAAGAGTTCTGTGACATTTTCTTTCGTTGATTCATTGGCGCATCTCGCCATTGATTGCAGTCCTGCACCTCGTTAGCTCTAACCGGCAGGAGGGACAGCTCGGCACGCTCGTCGGCTGAATCCTCCGTGTGTAGTTTAGCGTTGCCCTTATGCTGCTTCAAGTAGGGATGCATGTGAACAGTGCGTAAAACACATGCCTCTTGCTCACGCTTCTAACTTCATTGTCGGTAGCGGCGAAATAGCCAAGCGACGCGGCCATGTTTGCCCTAAAAAGTTTGTAAGACACTTTGGATAATTATATCGTAATATTCCGTTGATAGTCACACAAAAGTTGCGACAATTATGTTTTGTTAATACGGATTTCTTCTCGGGTTTCGTCATACGCAATTTTTTATCGTAAGTTTGCTTTTTGAATTCGGCCTCTGATGTATGGATCCTCCCAATAATTCCAACTTTGTGTATTGCATTGATTGTGAAAGCTGCAGTTGACACACACCCATTCGGAGCATGGCTTTATGATCTGCATAGAACCCTATTACCATTTGCTTCCTGTCCGTTGCGATTAAAAATACTTCTTCAAGGTAGTAAACAAACACACACAAAAAATACACAGGGACAAGGGGTAGACATAAAACACTGGTGCCAGTGTTTACGACCACTTATTGTCCATGTGTTTTTTGCGGCGCTTGTCTACGATCATAGACCAATTGGCCCAAATTGCCATGTTAATTCTGCGAGATGCTTATAAGTCTTAGCTTCTCTATGTTCAAATTTGGTAAACTTCATAAGCGATAACATCTGCTCGCTTATCTTCGGTAGATCTTGTCAAAAGCCAAAATAAAAGAGTGCAATGCGGCGGCAAAAACAGTGAACGATTGATTCTCGCAGACTCGGGGGCAAAATATACTTTTGCATTATGGTGCCCCTGAAAATGTTATTAATGCCACTCATTAAACTATCTAGGTAGTGTGTAAATTAAGTGCCTGGGTGAGCAAAAATCTTGGAATTTTAAATGTGAATTTCTGTATTTAAGGCTGGTTCACACATACAGTTCAGCGCTAACTCAGCCAGTCACTGCTACTTCCATGGCTTGTATCGTGTGTTCTGAGTTGCCTCCTTTCATAAAGGACTGATGTCCCGGCTTGTAATACTGATTCAGCGCTGAGGTAGTGCTGCGCTGTGAACAGGATACCTTGCTCGGACATTGAAGTTTAGATAAGCAGATCAACGTGTAACTGTGCATCTTTTTTCGTTATAAGTTACCAGTACAAGGTCTCCCATGGACACGAAGGCAGTACAAGGTCCCCCATGGACACGAAGGCAGTGTACCGTATAGTCGAATTTTGCATTTTTAATATACCAGTCATTACTCCTTCCCACGGTTTTATGCAGGCATTTTCTGAACCCTGCATGCGTATATAGGCACACCATATAAGTGACACTTGCACTCACTTCCCCTTCCTGAAAACAACGGTTACATCTGGACCACATGTCATGCAAACTATTGCCGTCTTCCCTCTTGGAGCCCTCCATCTAGAAACCCATGCTAGGAGTATAATTTCTAATACATTTCATTTGAAAGTCTAAATACACTGCTTTCAGTCTCTGTTGAAAATCAAATGTTTTTTTCTACCACGTTGCAATTCAGGTTTTGATGGGTCATCGCATTAGGTATATTCCGACTCGTCGGAATATACCTAATGAGATGGAACGTCAAAATTTCAAGTACAGTGCGGTAGAAAAAAACATTTTATTTTCAACAGAGACTCAAAGCAGTGCATCTAGACTTTCAAATGAAATGTATTAGAAATTCTTATGAGGTGGCACGGCAAAACCTTAATTGAAACGCGGTGGCCAATAGTTTTCGTAAACTCCTTACGGATTCGTTACAAAACTCATTTGCATTTCTATTGAGACTCGAAAAGATACGATAAGTAGACTCCATAAACTTTCAAATGAAATTCATTACAAAAATTTGTAAGGGTACGGTTCTACGTTCCTTTGTTGTATACAATCTATCTGAAATGTTTTGCCCCTCGTTATGCGATCCTCCATTAAGATTGACAAAGAGAGTTAAGCTTCATTCATATAGTGTGATTTCGCCTTCGATGTCACAGCTGCAACGTCCGGAACCCCAGCTTCCACCACGCTTTTTTTTTCGCACGAGCGACGTCGCGACTGCGAAATCGCAAGTAGAATAGCACCATGTGAATCAGGCATGAGGAAACTCACCGCCGCCTTGAGGAATTGTTCCAGGGCCGTCGGAATTCTGCGCTCCTCCCGGCCGACGGAGACGCTCAGTTCCGCCGGACACGAGCCAGCCATCTGAAAGGAGCCATCTCGAAGTTCCCCCGTGATTCATGGCGGCGCTTACCTCAGCAGGCTCGGCCGTGGGCTGCACGACCGGCATCATCAGCTGCTCAACCAAGGCCAGGATCAGCAGCAGAAGAAGCAGCTGCGGTGTCACGGGACAGTGCAGTAATGAGACTTTAGATATCATCATAGATCCGCATCTTACCGCGCGCCTACGTAGCCGAGTCGGCAGCGCGTTTGGCTCACACGGAAGTGGATCGGGTTCCGAACCGGCACTGCGCACTCTAAAGACAAAGGGTGTAGCCTTACACCCTTTGTCACATATAATGCACCCCGAGACTTCAGTTTGACGTACAGCGCACCGACGTCGAACTGACGGCCCCAAATTTTGCGAGGGACTTGATAACGCTGAAATATAACATATTAAACGCCTAAAGTACGTATCAAAGGTTGTAAAAAGAAGACGCTGAGGTTTTGCAGTAAGTCCAATAAAACCCGGATTACTTCTATTTTTCGCAGAGTCACGGGTACATTAACTATTTTAATAAGTTGTACAGCTCGGCTAACAAGCCGCTCGTGAAAGTTGGTACCGTCAGTTCAAAGTCAGTGCGCCGTACGTCGAATTGAAGTTTTAGGGTGTATTATACCTGACAAGGGGTGTGAGATTATAGCGTTTTTTTTTCTTAGACAGTGTGTCTTTTTATCTTTCTTTATAAATGCAGAGTATTCGAGAAGGTTGGAGAACCACCTAGCCTACTCATGCTCAAAAATATATACTTTGAAAAGGCTCGAGGCAGAATATTCTAGGCTCACAGGGAAGACTTAAAAGAAGCTGCACCGCGCCGTACAACTCAGTCTCGCCCTAGCGCTTGATCCTGCTGCTACGCCGTCATCGACGCCTGCGACGCTAGCCTTTCTCTATTTTGTTTCGGGCACAAGTTGGCCCCATTAAACGGTCAGTTTCCTTCAGTCATTCGCCGCCTCATCAAATGTCATTCGTGATAATATGCTTACATGGAAACGCCTCGCACAAAGGCATCTCCAGCTGCCTTTGACACTGCTATGCCAAGCGGAAAAGTGACCAAATGTGCAGTGTCCAAACCGCGTGTTTGCGCTATGTTTGACTAAAACCAATACCCACACTTCGAACGAAACAAACATGTTATTTGAGGCGTGTATGCTTTGTAACTGATTTCCGTAGTCTCGTATTTGAAATCGACCGGTCATTCTGAGCTAACCAACGCAACTATTTGAACTAAGCTGTGGTGTGCCCATGCCCACCGGCCCGCGTCACAGTGACGCCAAAAAAGCTGCCATTTCGTGAGCCTCCCTTTGGATGGAAGAACCATCCCTCCACCCTGCGCTAACACGCCCTTTGAAGTCCGGCAGTCGGATTTGTTTTTGGGCACCGCCTGGCAAACACCACGACTTTCCTCTTCGCCACCTCCGCTCTTCGGCGACTTCGGTGCTCGTCAGAAGTAACGTCGGACGCCTCCTGCCAATGGTGTGCCTGTTGGCTATCTGCCAGCCACGGCTCGCTCTAAGAACTTTTGCCTCCTGGATCTGGTGTCCTTCCCTTTCTGCCTTCGGTACTTGAGCAGCAGCGGAGGTCTTAAGCGATCGTCCGACAGCCGACAGAGCGTGTGAGTGGCTGTCCGGATCCACGTGATGAGCATGGAAACCAGCGAACTTAAACAAAAAAAACCATTCCCCCCATGCAAAAAAAAAAAAAAAAGAAGAAGAAAAGAAAGAAAGTAGACGGGCGGAAGTGGATTGTTGCACGACCTATGTGAGAATTTTATCGCCTCGCAATTTCGGAAGTGTCTTGTTTGGACTAGGGTGCCTCAATGTCCTTCTGTTTAGGGTGATACCACCCTTTGTAGTACCCGATGCCGATAGCAGGCGCTCACGGGGAAAATACAAAGAAATCGACGGAAACAAAATGTCGCCAAAGCACAGTCAGCGCACCAAATGCGTGCAGGGACACGCTGTTTCACGCGCTTCTGAACAAAAAATAAAAATAAACGTGAGGTACAAAGTGGCGAGATGCCACCACCCTAAGCAAAGCGCACATGAAGGCACCCTAGTTTGGACAGGCATTTAGGGGGTCTCGAGCCAAATCTTCAAGCGCGTCACTTTGGAGTCAAAGACCCTTCCCATTTATCTCTGCCTTCCTCTAATTTCCCTTCCCTGCTTAGCCTGGCCGCCGCTGAAGCGATCGGCGTAGTCGAGGGCCTCGCCGACAAGACCCTTCTCATTACCCCTTTCGCCTTCTCTTTTCCCAATCTTGCTTCGCTCCTTAGTCAGGCCGCGGTTGAAGCAATCGGCGTCGTTGAGGAACGTCAATGCATGCACAAGCAGCAAATATAATATAGAATTTCAAGGAGGTAGGAGGAGAGGACGAGGAAGAAAGGAGGAGAAGGGGAGGGGAAAGGGAGGAGGAGCGGATGAGAAGGAGAGGAGGAGGAGGGGATGTGGAGGAGACAAGGAGGAGGTGGGGAGAGGGATGGAGGTGGAGGAGGAGATAGGTAAGTGGAGGAGGGGCACACCCTCCTTCTCCTTAAAAGCTGCGCCCTAATTCGGCATTACGGGGAATTGTAAAGGTAATTCATTTATACCCTTTAAAAACTTTTTGTTTTAATTTTAGTGTTTTTTTAAGCTTGCATTGCAGTGGGCCGCTGTGGAAGCACGAACTACTTCGTCGGTCGCCTTGTTTCTAGTAACGCCAGCAAAGTGCGTCGCCAAATTCTGCGAGAGTTTTAGAGCTCGGTCGGTGAAGTCGTGTCCCGTGAAAGAAAAGCTTGGATAGCCGCCGTGAAGAGAATGAAGCCAGGCGGCTCGCTATGGCGCCCGAATGAGCGCTGCCGGACACGTAGCGTACATTTTGTCACGGGTACGTCAATCTTGTAAGCTTCTGACGAGCCTTCCATGCATAGCTCAGCCACACTCTTTTCCATTCGATACCCTCAAACCAAAATTTCCGAAGCTTTTAGCGCTGTACGAGCGCGTTGTACGTAGCCCGCAAATCGCCAATTGTGTGTCATAACGTAAAAAAAAATATTGCGTTGAATAAAGAAAAAAATTCGGGAAATTTGCCTTTTGTGACATATATAGCATATCGAAACAGTTTAAAACAAGGCATAAAAATAGGTATCAACAACGACTTACCGATTCGAGGAACCTCCGGAAAAGGAACGTTTTGCGGATGGCGGACGACCGTGGAAAATTGAGCTCGTAGCACAAGGTTGGCGCGACCATGAAGAAGTAGACGTCTGTGACAAATCACATCAGGTCGTTTACTGAACAAAATGCCAACATCAATATAAGGATGAGCAACTCGCTTTTCCAACACCCGATAAATAGCGCCTTCGTAGCCGAAATGCTTTGGTCGGGGGCGAGTTTGAAGGCTTCGTCTGATAAGTTCGGATGAAGATCATTGCAGCGCAAATGTTTTCTTTCTTTTCCAGTTGATACGGGCAAATAATCAGGACGTCGTTTTTAGAAACTGCAGGTTTGGGAGGAAGTGAACATTCGTGCACACCGAAAGCGCCGACCATTGACATGAAAGCCTGTCGCAGTGACGCGTAAGCTTGTGGAACGCGAGCATGTTTTTGTACCAACAGTTTTAAAATCAGGAACATCACAACTGAACACCGATTGGTAGCGGGGTAATCAACTGGGATGGTGCGTGGTCACACCTCACTGCGCCAAACAAAAAAAATGACAAATGTATCGTGACGCGGGCATTATTTTCACAGTAAGCAACCCATAAAAAATGATCAATGAGTTTCAATTGATTTTGTATTGTATTCCTATAGAGTCAATTGAAACAGAACATAAATTCAACGTCTAATGAGTTTGATTATCAGTCTCAATATCGATCCAAATGAATTCACTCATTAGATATGGAATGGAGTTTGGTCATTAAGAACTCAATATATATTCTATTCAATTTACTCATTAAGAATGCAAGTGAGTTTGCCGGATATGAACTCAATATACATTCTGTTTAATTTTCTCATTAAGACTGCATTTGAGTTTGATCATTAAGGACTCAATATATATTATTTCGAATGTACTCATCATGAATGCAATTGACTTTGTTCATTTAGAGCTTATTATCCATGCAGCCATTTGAATTTGCTCCTTAAAAATGCAATTGAATTTGCTCATTATAAACTCAATAACTATTCATTGGATTTTAGTGATTAGATGTGCAAAGAAGTTTTATATCAAGAACTCAACATCGATAATTCTGAAATTACATATTACATTTGAAAATGAGTTTCAGTGTTACGAGCTCATAATATTCCTTATTTTAAGTTTTATCATTAGATGTAAAAAAGAGTTTTCTCATTTATTTTTTCGAGCTTAGTCAGTGGCCATGCATTGAGTTTTATTGACAGATCTAAATGTCTCCTCGTTAGAGATTCAAACGGGTTTTATCAATTAGTAGTTGACATCAGCTAGTTTGCGCTCTCTGCTCTTGACGAACGCAGCGAGCCCACAGGTGCATATAATCATGTGTACAGTTATGTCTCTCAGAAATTCAAAACTTTTGACACCTTGGAGGGCATATAGCGCGCATTATAATAACTCTAAGGTCACTGACTATAGTGACCTCATTGAGCCTATTATACCAGTCACTTCGTAAAGAAAAGAAAAATTAATAAAATATTTTAAAACGAGCAACTGCCATGCCTCGTCGTGTCCTGAGTTGTGCTCTGCAGAGAAGCGATAATTAACCAGCTAGGGAATCGCGTTTGTGGATTTAGTGACGGCACCGATCAATTATTGCTCGCAGCAATGTTTTTTGTTTTTTTAACTTTCTCAATAAGGGAACGAGTACAATGACGTCTAAACACTGTTTATCATTTATGAGACTTCCGAGGAGGATATAGCACACTGGGAACCTTAAACAAATACTGAGGTGGTCGCCGGCCAAATGAATACCTTTCAAATGTAGGGTATGAAAAAAAACGGCGGAGTAGTCAAGGGGAGCGTGATGAGTGTGTTGTGAGTACATTATAATGTTTGCGTTGGTTTCCTTCATGTGCTTCCATGCTCTAAGGAATTTTAAGATAAAAAGTCCCAACAAGTTCCGGGATGTTTTAACGCACTTGCACAAAATTGTTGCACAAAAAGTTACAGAAATCTTACTGCAACTCAATCGCAAAAACTTATATTGGAGCTCAGGGATGGGCAGTATTTCAAATGCAAGTATTCGAAATACTTATTTCAAATACTATGTGTATTTTGCATTGGTATTTAATTACAAATTGGGTAATGTATTTGACGTGTGTATTAAAATACTAAAACGTGGGTATTTCAAATACAATTGTAATTAAATACAATTTTGTGAGTGAAAATACATCCCTCAAATTTATTGTCACTCTCCAGAGCAGGAACAAAACTACGTTCTGCACCGAATGCAGTGGCTCTCAATCAAGCACAAGCGTTTAGTGACTTTGTGATTACGGTGCTAGTCCAGGGCAAGAATTGTGACGAAATCGACGTTCACAGGCAGACTGGCTAAATAAGTGCCTGTGACAACTTGTGATGCTTTCCAGCCTGATTTCCATCCATATTTTTGCCTGTAACATTTAATTGCGCGGGTCGTCCAGATTTTCGTAACTGGTGCGAGTTGCAACAATAAAAAATTCTCTAGCTTGTGCTGCGCGTCTTGGTCGTCTCGGTTCTTTGTTGGTCTACGCCAAAATGTAATTGACAAAAAAAAAAAAAAAGCTGCTTTAAGCTCTGTACTTTTTTCACCTATTACGTCCAAGTTGATTGCATTTTTTGTGATTATATTTTTATTACGTTACTAGAGCTTCGCACACTAACTCCCGAGTGTCCGATACAAAATTAAAATGAGATACCCAGAAATGCGTTGGAGGTGCCCTGAAGTCGCTGACGCAAATTTTGAGGAATGTATTTGGAAAAGTATTTGGAGGAGACCAAATACATTTGGTTGTATTTGTATCTTGTATTTAAATGCTTTTTTGCAAATGTAATTAGATGTGTAATTAATTACATTTCTGACAAAGTATTTTGTTTTTGTATTTCGATACATATTTACATGTACTTTGCCCATCCCTGTTGGAGCTCAATTGCAAAAAATTAATTTGGAACACTACTGCCAAAAACTTAATTGAAATGCGATTTCTAAAACTCTAATTGAAACGCGGTGGCCAATATCCTGTGGCCATTCAATAAGTACTCATAAGAAAAAAACAAATTGAGTTTAAACTGAGACTAACCGCCGAATTCAGAAACCTCACTCAAACTACACTCAAACTGAAGGGCCCCTCCACTTCCTCGAGGAAGGCGCGAGGGCCGGCGCTGGCCAATCGCGACGGCGGATCCGTCCTCGCGATTGGCCAGCGCCGGCCCTCGCGCCTTCCTCGAGGAAGTGGAGGGGCCCTTCACTTTAAGTGTAGTTTGAGTGACGTTTCTGAATTCGGCGGCAAACTTCTCAATCCTTTATTTACATTTTCGACCAGAACTCATTTCATTCTTTTTTTTTTTTAAGTGAATATGGCAGGACAGTACTCACTCTTATAAGTGAGCAGGGCTTATATAGTCGTGACCAGGGATGAACAAAATACATGCAAATATGCATCGAAATACAAATACAAAATACTTCGTCAAAAATGTATTTAATTACAAATCTAATTACATTTACAAAAAAAAAAAAGCATTTAAGTACAAGATACAAGTACAACCAAATGTATTTGGTCTCCTCCAAATACTTTTTCAAACACATTCCTCAAAATTTGCGTCAGCGACTTCAGGGCACCTGCAACGGGTTTCTGGGTATCTCATTTTAATTTTGCATCGCACATTCGGGAGTTAGTGTGGGAGGCTTTAGTAACGTAATTGAAATATAATCACAAACAAATGTAATCAGCTTGGACGTTATAGGTGAAAAAGTACCGAGCTTCAAGCAGTTTTTTTTTTGTCGATTACATTTTGGTTTAGACCAACAAAGAACCGAGACGACCAAGACGCGCAGCACTAGCTGGAGAATGTTTTATTGTTGCAACTCGCACCAGTTACGAAAATCTGGACGACCCGCGCATTTAGAATGTTCCAGGCAAAAAAGATGGATGGAAAGCAAAAAAGATGGGTGGAAATCAGGCTGGAAACCATCACAAGTTGTCACAGACACCTATTTAGCTAGTCTGCCTGTGAAAATCGATTTGTTCACTGTTCTTGCCCTGGACTAGCACCGTAATCACAAAGTCACTAAACGCTTGTGCTTGATTGGGAGACACTGCATTCGGTGCAGAACGTAGTTTTGTTCCTGCTCTGGAGAGTGACAATAAATTTGAGGGATGTATTTTCGCCCACAAAATTGTATTTAATTACAATTGTATTTGAAATACCCACGTTTTAGTATTTGAATACACACGTCAAATACATTACCCAATTTGTAATTAAATACAAATGCAAAATACACAAAGTATTTGAAATACGAATTTTAAATACTTGTATTTGAAATACTGCCCATCCCTGGTCGTGACAATACAAATAGATGCTCCAAGAGTTAAAAACACATACGTTGAAATGGAGTGATACAATTTGCATCTGATGCAGGCTGTCGTTTGCTAGACTGACCAAAACGGTAGAAACGATAAATAAAAAAGTTGAGCCTTTCCACTCTCGTGAAGAAGGAAGACCAGCGGAGCCGTACTCGACACACTGCCGCAACGCGCACGCTCCCGTTCCCCGCTTCTTCTTGTCCGACACTCCGCCGATCGTGGATACGTCTCCGGAGAACCAGAGTCGGTCGCACACGGCGCACGTGACGCCAAACGGGTTCTCTGCGAACTCCCTCGGGAACCTCGCCGTCGCACCCGGGGAACTGTTCAGCCGGCGTGGAGTGCTGTCGTCGCCGGGCCTCGCACTTGCGCTTGGCCTGCCGGCGCCCTTTATATTGCTGGTTTTGTTCTCGGCGGCGGCTTTCCAGGCGAGCCATGTGCTCTTCTTTGGCAAGGGAATCTGAAGCCCTGGACGCAGTGGAAGTTCAGGCAACAGCGGTGTTGCGGCGGTTGCGGACCTATTCGCGCTGCTGCGTACGTCGCCGCTCCTTCCGCAGCCATTCTTCTTTCCCCGAAAGGGCGCGTGGCCGACCCAGTCGCGAGTAATCCGGAGTCCCAACCGAAACTGATAAGAGCGTAGGAACCGCGTGCGAAACAGACGAGGACGAGCGCTGCGCTCGTTAAGGGGTATTCACACGAGGGAGAAATCCCGGGCATTTCTCCGCTGCACGCGCATCCCGCGACGAAAACGTCAGGCTTTGCGATTTGCGAAAGCCTCGCGTTTTCGTCTCGTGATGCGCGCGTGCCGGGGAGAAATCCCCGGGATTTCTCCCTCGTGTGAATACCCTTCTTCGTCGTGGTCTGTTTTTCGCGCTGTTTCCTACGATGAATTCCCACCAACGCGTTCAACAATCCATTTTTCTATAATAGCGGGAAAGGTTGCCGCCATCTACGAGCAATGGCGGCAACCATACTGGTTGTGTGCTTGCCGCCGTCGCTTATAGATGGCGGTAGCTGTCCAGGTAGCTTTGTGTCGACATGCGTTTGATACCGGACAGAATCTTGGGAAACCTAGCCCTTAACAGCTCCGCTGTAAAAAGAAAGGCAGCGCGCGTATCTTTTCATGCGCAGCCTGCGGCAACCCATTTGGTGCAGCTTACGAACAAACGCCTTGCGTCCCGTTCACAGAGCACCGTGTACTTACGTTGCGTTTTGTTTCGGAAGCTTAGGTCCGCTTACGTCGATAGTCACCGGGAAATCTCCGCTTCGAATGAAGCGTGGAAATCAGTTCAAGGAGTAGCTTCGCACGCGGCATTCTAAGCACAAATGTCTCGGTGCTTCATAACCCAAGCTAAGAAAACGTAAGCAAACACGTCTGTGTGAATGGGCCGCTCGATGAGGCATTCGGACCACAAATGTCTCGGTGCTAAGAGGGAGCAGAGCCGTATATGTGGAGAGTTTGGTCAATGGGAGGCGCGGGCAGAGCCAGGGCGTGCGGCAGACTCGGAAAGAGGGCTTGGCATGCTCTCTTGACCAACCAGAAGCCGAAAAGAATCACCTAGCGGTGGTAGCGAGAAACAGTTCTGAGCCGATCGATCATCGAAGGTCTATGTTCGTATATGGTTTTAATAAGTGCGTAAGAGTGAAGTGTAGTAACTCTTTGTGGTTGAAAATAGGGTGTACGTGTTGTTTCATCATGATCATGCAGAAAGATGTAAGAAACGAATGCGCCGCTCAACTCTGTTTTGCGCGGACAGTGTGTGACCGCTCTGACGGCAGATTCCCGGCGCTCGGCGTTTGGCGTAAGGATTATGTCGATCTTTCCGCTAGTCGCACTCTTCCACCATCATTTTAGATGAGTGTGATTGAAACATCACGTGTACCATATTTTCAGCCATCGAGAGTTACTCCAATGCAGTTATCAGGTTTGTTTTTCGCGACCACCGCCAGGGTATTATTTCCGGCTTTTGGTTGGTCACATTCGAATTTCTGAAGACGCCCTGGAACACGCCCAGCCCGCTTTCGGCCAATGGCGCCGCTTCATTTGTCTCCTATACTTCCCAACGAATGGCCAAACTCTCTACATATACGGCTCTGAGAGGGAGCTTCGAGGCTTTAACGTTTTTACGCGTATGAGGGCTATTGGCGACGTGACCGATCGAAAGCGTCGCGGTGGTCGGCCCCCCACGATAGACCGAATGCTGAGTTTGACGTCAGCAAAGGATTCCTCATCGACGGAAATACGAGTAATGGAAGAACTTCATTTTTGACGGTGTTGGCAATATTGGTTTAAAAGCGCAATGATTTCCAGCTTCCAGCATGCTAATTAGGAACACCATCGAACTTGTTGTTCACAAGGTAATGACGTCACGAGAGGTAGCCATAGGAGGGCGCCACCCAAACATCTCGCCGCTAATACACTGTATTCTTGTACGTGCATCCTTTTTCAAAATGCTGCTGCTGCTGCTGCAAAAAAAAAAAAAAAAATGCTCGAAGAAACTTGCTGTTGTCAGCTAGATCCGCGTGCCCCGGAGAAAAGCACACTTACATTGTCTTTTAAGAATGTACATGCGCCTTTTAAAGGCGCATGTACATGTTTCATGTTTCATGTCCAAAGTCGAACCAAAATAAATGACTGATATTGCTTCACGGAGATTTAACACAAGCGCTGCCAGAATAGCACATTAATTAGAAGCTGCGATTAACTCTAAAAACGATATTAAAAATACTACCGCCAGCTGCTCAGCGGGCATTGAGCGGGTTGGCTGTTTGTCAAGCAACCTTGTGCCTCGATGACATGTTTGTTCTCAAGGAGGTACTGTCACTTGTTTCACCGTGTCTTTTTGGTGCGTTTTCAGCCGCCGAAGTGGATAATTTCTGCTCGTTGTGTTATGTTTTAGAGATAGTAGTTTATAAGTCACCCTGAGCGATTGCGCACGAAGATTATAAGAGAGTTTTAGTACATCGTACGCTGCGGAAAGTGGGCCCAGCAGGCACGTGCTCAATCCATGGTTGGAAGTGACGGCGCGAGCTCCCGCTAGGCAAATGGAGCTCGTACGATCTAGTAGGCCGTTTTCAAAGGCCCGCTACTGCTACGGGCGCGCGCTTCAGAGCGTGTATCGAGGGAACGGCGCGAGCTCCCGCTACAAATAGCGTAGCCTGAAAACACGATCTACTCCTTCCTTTGATTTCCTTGCTTTCAAAACTCTGACTGACTGACTGACTGACACGTTCTACTAAAACTCTCTAAAAATAGACTTCCTGCTCGTTCAAACGCGTCGTGGCGCCGAAGGTGGAATTCACTGGAGGCCATAATTTACTTCAAGCTCAAACTCTTTATTTCTCTCCGTTTGGAGAGGGGAGACAGGGAAAAAAGCAAGTCAGTTGTTGCTTGACGAACCTCTGCCTCCCCACAGCAGCGTAAGAGGACAGCATGTACATACAAATGTTTTTTTCACCATCACACTTATAGCACAAAAATAAACAACATTAGATGGGGGAGGGGGAAGGGGAAAAGTAATCGATTTAGCCAAGTTTACAAATTCCAGGGGCACTCTCTCACAAACATGGAACGTACATATTTTATGGTTTCATTCAAACCTTTTACATTCAACTCACTCAGGCGATTTAAAAAACGAGGTACTATGTTCAATGTCTGATTTCCGTAGTTCGTTCTGGAGTGCGGCACTAACCATTCCTGCTCAGCGCGAGCTTACGATTAGCTTCCACGACGCTTGTGCAACGTGCATTTCACACCAACGAAATTGTATTTCTTCTCAGAAGATAAATGGGGGCTGGTTCCGAGCCTGAGTTGAGGCTGCGAAATCTGAGATCGTGGCGATCTCAATTTCGGCCGGAAACTTTATGAATGTGTAATAATATTTGCTACAGATGCTTATTATACCTGCAAAGCATCAGTAAAACAGTCCCAGCATCTTACCTGACCGATCTGAACTGCTCCTGCGACTAGGACAGACGTGCGTTTTCCATTACCGCGGTACGAACTTTCCGTCACACGCTGGCCATGCAACTGACCACAAGGGTCGCCATCATGCACGAGCCGGTAGTTTCGGTTTCGCAGTAGACCGCCGAAACAAAACTATCAGTTAAGATATCTACAAAACTACATGAGGCACAAAAAAAAAAAAAAAGTTACACCTCGCCCAATTTAGGGACACTTTCCTCCCTAAAAACACTCGTAATCCTAAAATTAAAAAAAAATAAATAAAATGTACCGGAGAGACTTTTTAAAGAACGAAATGCTTTTTAACCAAACCCCCGATCCGACGATTGTTTCCCTCTGTCCGTCCGTGCATTTAAAGAACTTGTAGTTGCGCTAGTTGGTGAACGTTGGAAATCATGGTGCAAGGCTCAAAAAACAACATGCCAGGCCATATGGTGACTGTGTCACGGGGCTGGTTTAGGAAATCCCCCTTACGTGTGGTTAAGTTCTACGTAGGACAGACTGGCAGATGTGCGAACGACGGACTAAAGAAGCACGCGCAAAATTAAAAAAAAAAAAAAAAAAATATGATGCGGCTCTTTTGCCTGAACACTGCAGCGAATGTGGGTGAGAGCCACGTCTTTCCGAGACAGCGATTCTGGGCAGAGGCAAGTGCCAAAACGCGCGCGAGTTATTGGAGGCGTGTTTTATCAGAAAAAGGGGTGCTCAATGCGTAAGTGACACGTGTATTGCGCTCTATAATGCCGAGATTAGATTATCTGATAAGTTTTTGTAAATTGGTAGATGAAGCGTATATCACATGGCTAAGCGCATGCGTGTACCAGATGAAAATGACGCTGTTTGTATTCTTTCCTTTCTGCACTTTTCAAATATAGTTGTGCGTGGCGACTGTTCGTCTGTTTTCTCTCTTGTGTCCGTTGTTTTTTGCGCCTTACACCATGATTTCCCGTTAAATTTAGCGGGGAAATTGACGTCACGTGCTTTATACACCGATTCAGTTTCCTCGCTATTAGCTGCAAAATTGATGTCACCTTACCTGACGTCATGAGACCTAAAGGCAATTTCAGTTACCCCGCTAAATTTAGCGCTATATATTTAAGGTCACGTGACCTTTACGCCAATTCAATTTTTCAGTTAGCTTTAGCGGAAAAATGTGTCATGTGACCTGACGTCACGAGACTTACAGGCCAAGTAAGTCCCAATTTAAATGTAGCGGATAGTTTGTAAACACATTCACCGATGTTTGCGAACAAGCTGGTTATCGCCCGCTATCGGCGAAGCCCAGCGCGCTTTCGTTTTTTCTCTTTTGTGTTTGCTTTTTTTCCCATTCTTTTGTTATTTATATTTTCTTCAACGTGCGAAGATTTTTACGAACGTATAACAAATACTTATCCTAAGAAAAGTCTTCTTACCCGATCACTGCGCGTTGCTTAAGAACCAATAAATACGATACCAAAAGTCTCCTGGGGCACCAAACACTGTGGCGCCCTCGTGATATCAACTTCCGCCGAATGCTGCGAATAGGTTTTTCGCTACCCTAAAACGACGGTTTAATATCTTCTACACAAATTTAAAACATCAAAGCAAAAAAATAAAACTAAACAAGTTTAAAAGATCGCTCCTTACTACAGCTTTTCATGCATTGTAGGACTTTGGAGATAAAGGTTGCTGACAATTTGTTTCCTGCTCGCTATTGTACTTCGGGAAGCAAGACGTGCGTTAAAGTTTGTTCTTACTGTCAATTCTCAAGTTGTCCGGATAGACCAGGGCGTTCCGGCGCGGCCCGTCGGCGCAGATACCATTGGCTGGCATCACCGGTGTCGCTGTGGAAACAAAAGGAAAAAGGTGGAGAAACGCAGCAGACAAACAGCAAAAGGCTACGTCAATACCATGGTTGATGTACAAAAACACCTCCTCGAGGCTGCGGAGCGTCTTCGAGGCTTGCAAACTCGAGCACCAAACACACGAGCGACGCGAACTGGCACCGCGCGGTGGTTTCCATAGCAACCGCCGCGGACGCTGTGAAGTGGTGGCGCGGCATAGGTTCCCGTCACAGCGTCCGCAGCAGTTATCCAAATCTCGAACGGTGCCTTCAAGATTCTGACCCGTCTAGTAGTATCCGTATGGCGGCCCTGGTTCCTTCTTTGGAGTCAATGCGGCACCCAGTGACTTTAGCATTGCCAACAATTTCAAAATATGTCCATGCAAGGAATGCGTCGCATTTGCCAATAGACCGATCTCACCAAGCGTTCGGCGCATGCGTGACGCCGCTATAACTTTAGTTCGCAGGAGGCAGGCAGCAGTGCACAAGACGGCTCTTGCCGCCTCATGCTCCACTCGCGGGGAGCTCCAGCGAGGTTGTCGCACGAGCAGAAAGTCTAAAGCTCCCTCGTTGCATTGCGACAGCGGTGGCGGAGTCAAACTGGCTGGTGAGATCGGTCTATAGACCGATCTCACTAAGCGTTCTACGTAGGGTGCCTCAATGTCCTTCTGTTAAGGGTGATGCCACCCTTTGTAGTACCCGATGCCGACAGCACGCGCTCACGGGGAAAATACAAAGAAATCGACGAAAACAAAATGTCGCCATAGCACAGTCAGCTCCACAGACGCGTGCAGGGACACGCTTTTTCACGCGCTTCTAAACAAAAAATAAAAATAAAAGTGTGGGACAAAATGGCCAGATGTCTCCACCCTAAGCAAAGCGCACATGAAGGCACCCTGGTTCTACGCATACGTGACGCTGCCATAACTGTAGATCGCAAGAGTTAGGCGCCCGTGCAAGAGATAGCTCGTGCCGTCTCCTGCTCTGCTCGTGCAGACATCTAGCGGTGTAGTCGCGCGTGCAGAGGGACTCGAGTTCCCACGATGCACGGCGACAGCGGTGGCGTGCTCAAACTAGCTGGGGCGATCGGTCTATTAGATGTTTGGTGTAACATAATGTTCTAGAGTAGCCGAACGTATTTCGAATGTTGGAATGATAGAGCCATTTGCCGCAAGTGGGATACGGCTGTGGGTGTCGCCTTTCCGCTAGCGTGCGAGGAAGGACAGACATTTAGAGTCGACCAGGAAGCGGCGGCCTGAAGTTCGTTTTGTGCTGAAAAGCAGATGGCTTCTTCTTGGGACTTGGTCACTTGCCTCCTCTAGTGACGGGACGGGGCGTTTTTCTGCCATTGGCTTGGTTGTTCGCACTTGCGTGCCTTACTGCCGAATGTCTGGGGGTACCAACAGGTATCGCCTTTTCGTTGTTGCAATGGGCTGCTACGTCAAGAGGAGCTTCGCATTCTGGTTAACACGGTTCGCTTCTTGTGCTCAGGGCCGCGGCGGTTGCTTTTAGAGCGTCAATGCGGTCTTCAAGGGTCTGGTGGAGGAGCACTGGTGGGAAGTGTTTGTGACGCTCGACAGGGTAGGTGCAGCGTATTTCGCGACGCGGACGGCCATCTCCGTGAGACGGTCAAGAGGTATGTATGCAGCTGGAGCGAGGGCCATACGCATCTCTTGAGGCAAGCTTTGAAGGAACAATTCCCGTAGAATGGGATTGTTCGCGTCAAAAGCTTGCTCACCCAGTAGCTATCGCATGCGGTGAAGCAACTTGGATGGTCTGCGGTCTCCCAGCTCTTCGGTGATCAAGAGCTGCTGTAGCCGCGACGTTTCCAACTCCGTCTTCCTGGCGAGGATCGTGCGCTTGAGGTGGTCGTAGTCGTCGTCAGGAGGGGGCAACGTGAGTATGTCATCCAGTTCATCGGCCAGTCCTGGGGGAAGGGCAGACACGATATGATAGGAGCATAAAGTATGGGTGGTTATGCGCCGCAAGGGTAACTGTGCTTCCATTCTGAAAAACAAGGCCTATGGGTTTTTCGCCCGGAAGACTGCAAGTCGGAGCTGGATGGTAGTGGTCATGGCTCCGTCTTCGGTAGAGTTGCCTGCACTCCAGTCCATGATGGTAGGACGTCAGGGTCAGCAATGTGTCGGCGGTATGTTCGAAAGCGCAGGAGAAGAATTAGATATCTGCTTTGGAGCTTAAACAAAATGCATCTGTAGTGATCAGCGAGTTCCCGGGACAGCGGGGCATTGACGAGTGCACGCAAGCCTGCCCAGTGGTAATCTGTTTTAATCTCGTGCGACATTCTCTTTATATACCACGTGTGCAGGGGGCGCTCTCTAGCTGTCTATCACCACTCCTCCCCCTCCCCCTCCCCCCCCCCCCCCCCCTTACAAAGATTAGCCAAGGTCCCACCGATCTTCACGGTGAAAAGCGCACAGGAGGCTTTCGTGCTCGATTACTTCATTTCGGTAGTGGAGTACCAGGAATCCTCGGTAGCGGAATGCCAGGAACAGGCTGAGTATCTTCATGCTGATATCCAGCTGCAACGGTTTGAAGCACCACTTGGGCAGAAGCATTTAGTGGTACAGCCCCAGCGAGAGCGGGCACAGTCTCATCAGGAGGAGCGGCCTGATCCACCGGCTCTGGTCACGGCTCCGATGATGCCCTAGCTTGGGCTAGGTCAGGACGCAGATGTCCTTCATGACGTCTCTAACACCGACCATCTGGTAGTGCGACATCTGTGATGTGGTCCCTTGGAGTGTCGGTCACAGTTGCCGGTACCCATGGTGGACCTTGTCGAAAATTTCTCAAATAATCGCATCACCCGGCTGGACAGTCGGTATCAGTCGAGCACCCTTGTCTAGCGCCATCTTCTGGATGAGCTGTTTTCTCGATATGCTTGACCTCAGGTCAGGGTGAAGTAGAATCAAAGCAGTCTCTAACTTGCGACCCATCAGTAGCTCCGCCGGAGTGTACCCTGTGGTTTCATGAGGTATAGTTCTGTAGTTAAGCAGGATTCGGGCCAGCTGACACTGGAAACTTCCATCAGCTGCCTTCTTCAACTTCAACTTTATGGTTTGAACCGCTCGCTCAGCGGCTCTATTTGGCGCTGGGTGATACGGTGGCGTTAGAATTTGCCTTATTCCATTCTGTTGAAGGAAGTTCTTAAAGCTACCGCTTACAAATGCCGGCCCGTTATCGGATACGACGAGATCTGGTAGTCCGTGACAGGCAAACATCATCCGCAGGCAAAGGATCGTGGCTTCTGCCGACGGCGTGGACACAGGAACGGCCTCGATCCATTTTGAGTTGGCGTGGACCGCGATGAGTAGATACCTGTTCTTCATTGGTCCAGCAAAATCGATGTGAAGACGAGACCATGGCTTTTCTGGGAATGGCCACGGCATCATTGGTGCTGGTCGTGCGAGTCGCTGGTTTTCTTGACAGACACGGCATCCCCGCACTGTAGCCGCAATGTCTTCATCTAATGATGTCCACCATACATGGCTTCTCGCCACGGCCTTCATTTTAGCGATCCCTGAATGACCTTCGTGCAGGAGTTGTAGAACCTCTGGTTGTAAGGATCCTGGGATGACGACTCTTGACCGCAACAGGATACAGTTCTTTTGTACGCACAGCTGAGTTGTTCGAGCAGCGTACGGTTTTAACTCCAGACCACAAAGAATCTCGAAGCTTCGCCAGAGTCAAGTTTTTTAAAGAGGCTTTGGCCACGACAGACGCAAGTAGTACTCGAGGATAGGCCCCCTTGAGCATGAATACCTCGGCTGGCCGCTCGATGGAACACGCAGGAACAGGCAGCGGCAACCTACTCAAGGCATCCGCATTTGCTATGTTTGACCCAGGCCTGTACTTCAGTTTGTAGCGATACGCCGACAGCATCAGTGCCCAGCGCAGCACACGTGGCGAACATATCTCAGGTACAGGCTTGTCCGCAGCAAGCAGCACCCAGCAAGGGCTTATGGTATGTGCCCGCTTCGAAGTTACGGCCCCACAGGTATTGCCGGAACTTAGTCACGCCAAAAATCAGAGCCAAGGCTTCCTTGTCAAGCTCACTGTAGTTGCGCTCAGCCGACAGAAGACCTCTAGATGCAAACGAACCGACGATAGAAATTGACCAGTCCCAGGTAGCTCTGCAGCGTTTTTTCATCCGTAGGCCTTGGAGCTTTCAGTACTGCCTCAGTCTTTTCCGCGTTTGGTTAGAATCCCGCAGAGCTAGCGATATGAGCCAAGTATTTAACCTGGGGAACCAAGAAATCTCACTTGCACAACTTCAGCTTCAGTACTGCTTGCTGCAGCCGACTCAGCACTTGACTCAGGTTCTCCAGGTGGTCTTGATCGTTTCGCCCTGTCACTAGAGTGTCGTCGAAATATACAACGACATGCTTAAGTCCTTGCAATAGGTTCTCCATCTCACGTTGAAAGATCGATGGTGCAGAGTTCACACTGAACGGCAGGCGAGTGTACTGGTGCAGACCTCGTGGTGTGTTGATGGTAACCAGTTTGGACCACTTCTCATCGAGTTGAACTTGTAGGTATGCACCTTTTAAGTCCAACTTGCTGAATTTCTCACCTCCACTCAGCTTAGCAAACAGGTCCTCCACTCGCGGGATGGGGTACTTTTTAGGTACAGTCACAGGATTCACAGTGACTTTGAAGTCTCCACAGATGCGAATCTGCCCATTTTTTTTTAGGACCGGTACAATAGGGGCAGCCCATTCCGAAATCTTCACTGGACGTACGACTCCCCCCGTTCCATGCGTTTCAACTCCTCGTTGACTTTGTGAAGCATCGCAAATGGAACCGCACGAGGCTTGGAAAACCTTGGTTTGGCGTTGTCCTGAAAATTTATCTATGCGGCGACCCCCTTGAAAGTTCCTAGACCTTCATCAAAGATACTGGAGTATTCAGCAACGAAGTTCGCAACAGAAGTCGCCACATTGACATCCTTCGCCTTGGAAAGCTCGATGCCTAGGCCTTTCA